TTTTTCAAAAAAATGAAAGAAAACGTGAAATTCATAGAAAACGGCCAAAAAGGGGGTACTTTAGAAAAATACCTTCTCCTACAAATATCGTGCTACAACATCGAGACACGAATCATTCGATGCGTAAAGACCATATCTAGCGATTGTCGGGCCACTTTTTCAACTTTTTCTTGGTTCTCTTTTTATTATGATTTTTCTGAAAAATGTTGACTTTTCAAAAATTACCTCTATTTCCCCCCCTTTTTTCAAAACTATAACGAAATCGAAAAAAATGGCCTGACAATCTCTAGATATTTTAATTGCGAATCGAATGGTGTATGTCTCATTGCTGTAGCTTCAAAACTCTATGAGGAGATAGGTTTTCCGTGACAATAACTGTGAATGTTCACTAGGACAGGACAAAGTCGCGGGAGCATGCGAATACCCACTAAATGTAGCAAGGATACCAAACTAAACGTTGCTGGAGCTTGATTCCACTCGAGGATCCTGGGAGCAACTGCTAGCGCACCTCCCCGTGCGATGCCAGGAGGTGCACTGGCTCCAGCTGACCACAACACTCTCTTTTGTACTCTCTGGGCTGGTATTTACTGCCTATGTTAAAGTTAAAGAACCCTCCTCCCCCTCCTCCCCCTTTGCATCTGTAGTAAACGCAGGTTTCAACGTACAGAAATGGTTTTGGTACCGTTGAATGCGCCAGAAAAGCAGCTTTAAGATGAGTATTGTAACTGGAGAATGTTATAATTGGTCGCTTTACGTTAGACGATTTACTTTATAATTCCCGGCCGTGTAATTACTCCTTTAACTTTACTGAAGGGGGCCGGACACCCGCCACCCTTTTGGGATCTGTAGTGAATGCATAAATCAACGTACAGAGATGGTTTTGGTACCGTTAGATAGATCTGAATGTCAGCTTTAAGATGAGACTAAAAACCCGGAAAAGCCAAAATCCAAAATTTTGACGTGTACGGTCCCCTTAAGACTACACTCTTAGCTATAATCAATAATCATTTATAATGTAATGTGCGTATAAAGCAAACGTATTGACCAGGTTCAGCGTGTGCGTATAAAGCAGACGTATTGATCAGGTTCAGCGTGTGCGTATAAAGCAGACGTATTGATCAGATTCAGCGTGTGCGTATAAAGCAGACGTATTGACCAGGTTCAGCGTGTGCGTAAAAAGCAGGCGTATTGATCAGGTTCAGCGTGTGCGTATAAAGCAGACGTATTGATCAGGTTCAGCGTGTGCGTATAAAGCAGACGTATTGATCAGGTTCAGCGTGTGTTCGTCGTCCTCGCCTCCCCCGAGCTTCGTTCACCGTGGCCCCCACGACCGTGACGTGTTCGACGCCCAGCAGCTGCTCTCTGACCTCGACGAGTCGTGCGTATTACTTACTATTGTACCTCTACTGTATATAGTTCCTTTAAATAGTACTCTCGATCTGTATTACTTGTACTTGTGAAAAGTACTCGCTATATTACCTCTACTTGTATTACCTCTACGGTCGAACAAATGAATGGGTCCTATTGTACTTGTACAGTTAGTGATACTATCTCTTAATCGCAGAGAACGGACGTTGCACTGATACAACATTTACGGGTTAGGATGACTCACATATCGCAAAAGGTGTTTGCTATTTAGACAACGTTTCACTCATTTCTCACAGTGTTTTCGTAGCCGTGGGCCCACGTTTGATAATTCTAAGTCTCTGAACAAAGTCAGAGTTTGCGATAAATTTACAATGTTTCGTCAAATCGGGTTGCAGAAGCGTTTCTACTGTCCGACATTATAGCTTTATTCATGACCGCGCTGTAAACCTGATACTTTATAAGCGCACTGCTAATATCAATATCATTATTTGCCAATATCAATATCAATAAGTTTCATACTATTGTTGAAACAAATCCCAACGACTCCGCAAATATCTAAAAGATCCAATCAATATTGTTGTTTGTATTAAAGATGTAAATCTATTCCACTGATGACAATAAGAAGTCGAGCCTGTATAATACTCGTATTCTGCTGCAGTGTGGAGGAAAATTCCCGACGACTCCGCAAAGAACTAAAACATTTAATCAATATCATAGTTCATATTAAAGATGTAATTGTATTTCACTGATGACAATAAGAAATAAAGCCTGTATAATATTCTGCTGCAGTGTGGAGGAAAATTCCCAACGACTCCGCAAAGAACTAAAACATTCGATCAATATTGTTGTTTATATTAAAGCTGTAAATTTATTGCATTAATCGCAATAAGAAGTCGAGCCTGTCCAATACTCATATTCTGCCTCAGGGTGGAGGAGGACCCAATAGACCTGCTGCCGGAGGAGCAGCGTCTGGCCATCACCAACACCACGCAGCAGGTCACCCACACCCCTGCGACCTGAACCCTGTGCTGGACCAGTGCCATGAGTCTGTGCACGAGATCGACATCACCGAGTACCTCCATGTGAGGACATACCTGCATAAATGAGTACCTGGCTTGTCCAGAGTGTTGTGTAATACAATAAAATAGTTCTGGCGGGTCAGCGAGCCAGTGATGGTCGTAGAACTACCAGTGGCATTAAGTGCCCGGAATAACTGACCTATCACCCCCCTTCCTAGTCGACATTACCAGGATGGGCAATTACACACACGTGTGAGAGCACCTGCTCGTGTATACGTGTTCGTCGAGGCTGTTCCCTTATTGTGCCGTTGTTGTACCGTTGTTGTGCCGTTGTTGTACCGTTGTTGTGCCGTTGTTGTACCGTTGTTGTAACGTTGCTGTGTCGTTGTTGTACCGCTGTTGTGCCGTTGTTGTACCGTTGACGTAACGTTGTTGTCCGTTGTTGTACCGTTTCTCTTCCGTTATTGTACAGTTATTGTACCAATATTATATCGTTATTGTAGCATGAATGTACGATTAGGTTAAATAACTTTCTCGTTATTATACTTTGATCGTATCATTTGTGTACCGCTATTGTGCCGCTTCGCTCTTTATTGTAGCGAGACGTGTGAAGAATTAAAGCTGTCAGGACATTCACACCACTCACATTCTCTTGGAATATAACAATTAGTTGTCTGATATGTCGATTGATATTATTGGTGAATGCCAGCAAGAAAGGCGATTAATTAAGATATTCGCGCACATGATTGAGATCAGAAGATTGGGGCAAACTTGGCGACATTTTTTTCTTTTACTGTTGTGCTGTTATTGCTTAGAGTCGAGTAATTTCTAGGAGTCTGTAGCTCCTCTATGGTTTCTGTACTGTTCCTCTTCGTTGCTTTTCGTGCGACGCTGTTTACCCAATGAGACACCTACAGTAGGTAACTTGATTCCTTCATGATGTGTTTGAATTTTGTTCTTCATAATGCTAGACAGCTCGTTTCTGTTCAACTTTTTGATACGCTTAAATTGTGGAAGAACGTTTCTTTGATATCTCTTATACCAAATCTCTGATTCATTGTTTGATCACGTAGAATCTTCAATAATTTTAATAGATAGTACCTTGCCTTGTATTGAAGTATTAGATGAAATATCTTGTCTTTTTCCTTTTAGTAAATATTATTCCTGTTGTCTTATTTCTTTTACTAGGTAATAATGTTGCGATATTGCAGGCGATATGCGGACATATTCGCGACTTTTCGTTGCGGCAGAAAGTGGAAGAAACACAACAGCAGCAACAGCACAAATCCCCTACATCGACCTCTCCTCCGCGCCCAACAGACCCTGATAACTGGGACAAGCAAGGAACCTTGGAGCAAATGGAGTCCGTTGAGCAGCTCGGTCAGCTCGAGCAGAATCTTGTTCGACGAGCTAACACTCAAGATGAACAAAAATTAAAAAATTTCCCTCTCGAGGTTTCTGAAGAATCCGATACTTCTAAAATAGTCCCTCCCGCAGTCGAAGCTACAAAGAAAGAAATTCAAGAGCATTTAAAATTATGTCTCAAAGAAACATTTGAAAAAGCCTTACTTGATAGCAATTCCGGTGACACGCTCATCAAAAGCGCAGTTTTGGAAGGAGCTTCGAAGTCTTCANGGTGCACCTACAATAATGATTAGAATAAGAAATTTGTGGAATGTTAAGGGTATAAATATCACTTCTTTGTGGAGGGCGGCGCCCCTGGTGCTGGTGCTGCTGCCTCGCTGGTGCGTGGTCCTACATGTAATGATTAGGATAAGAAAATTGAGAAATGTTCAGGGGATAAATAATAATTATCACTTCTATGTGGAGGGCGGCGCCCCTGGTGCTGGTGCTGCTGGTGCCTCGCTGGTCCGTGCACCTACAATAATGATTAGGATAAGAAAATTGAGGAATGTTGTATTGAATCCACCTACAATAATGAATAATGATTAGAATAAGATACGTGCACCCACAATAACACTAATAAGATTATTAGGATAAGAAATGTGAGGAATGTTAAGGTATAAATATCGCTTCTACGTGGAGGGCGGCGCCCCTGGTGCTGGTGCCTGCACCTACAATATCAATAATATGATAAGAAAATTGAAGAATGTTCCCTGGGAGGAGGGTATAACTTTTTACCCATGCTGAGCGGAGTAATAGCGGAGTAATATCTAAAAACCTGTTCATTATGTAGAATACAAAATACATCATTAAAGAAAGACAGGGATTTACTGGTGACGATTTATTCATTGATTTATATCACTGCACTTATTCCTCTCAAGTGCCTGTTTTGAAATAGCTAATCAAGTTCAAAATGAAATGAAAGTGAAATTCATCCATTATTATGATTCATTCTTATCTCTATGCGTTCTTCATTATTCGCTGTTTATTCATATCATAATGCACAATCTGGCTTATGTGTTTACTAGACGATTTTGAATATTTTCTTAACGATAAGCATTTATTAATCTTACCATGACGCGCTCGACTCATATCTGAACAACCACGAGTTGGAGCAAAATTGAATGCGTAATTACGTATAATTCATCACAAGCGTGGCCGAATTTTTTTGTTTTGATTTACCGAGTCTAACTCGTCCTCCCTGCGCAGGGCGCGTCCGGTAAATTGCGCCACTCTACCACCAAGAGGTCACTCAAGCACCAGGTAGCGGCGTGCTCATTCATTATTCATTTATTTCGCCAATTTCGCATGCACTCCAACTTCTCGACACACCTTACATTATGTGTGCTCTCCTAGTTTATAAACGCACCTTTAAATTTCCTTTGCATTTCGAGTTTATGAATGCGCCTTTTATTTTGCAGGCACTTTAGAGTTCTTGAACGCACCTTTCAATTTCCCTGTACATTTAGAGTTTATGAATGCATTTTTTTATTTGCATGCACTTTAGAGTTTTTGAACGCACCTTTCAATTTCCCTGTACATTTAGAGTTTATGAACGCACCTTTTCATTTTGCATGCACTTTCGAGTTTTTGACCGCACATATCAATTTCCCTTTGCATTTCTAGTTTATGAACGCACCTTTTCATTTTGCATGCACTTTCGAGTTTTTGACCGCACATATCTATTTCCCTTTGTATTTCTAGTTTATGAAAGCACCTTTTCATTTAGTATGCACT